TACTGATGACTCCCAGTCAGGAGACCCTTTCCGACTCTGTTTTTTCTGTCTTTCTCAACCTCGATTTTGGCTGCCTTGTCTTTGGCTTTGAAAAGTCGACTCCAAAACTTGGTCTTTCGAAAGTGACCAGTTCACATTGCTGGTGACGCAGCTACGTTGCAGGTGTCTCGTACTATAACTTCAGTGCTCTCAAGGGATATGCGTAAGCACCCTTACTCAACTTTGACAATAACACTATTGAAATGGACCAGATAATCGCGGCGTGGAGGTCTTCATTGCGCTACAAATGCTTGGCGCTGTCCTTTTCGTTTTCATAACGATTACAGCTTTTGTAGTGCAGCGCCGTGGTGGGACCCGTCACCCGACGTTTTTCAGTTTCTGCTTTTCTTGGACTGTGTACTGCGTCTCGTATGCGCTCTTGACTTTTGCTGGTCAGCAGAATGAACCGACTCATGGCCTATGCAAAGTGCAGTCTGCTCTTGTATATGGCGCCCCGCCACTGTACGTCAATTCCGAGCTACGTTCAACTCAGGATCCTTCTGACAATCAACCAGAGCAGGCACTAGTACTGTGTCCCTCGTTACACATGTGAGGAGGACAAGTTACCTCACCACTTTACATTTTCTTTATCCTTTTTTCAGCTGTTGCTCAACCTCCAGCTGGCCCTTCATAAAACTGCACAAAAAAGGAGATCGCTTTTTGTCTCATCAATGGTAGGTTCAATCAACCTTTGTGATATCACCGTAATTCACTATGCGTATGTTTCTAATGCAGCTCGTAATAACACCATGGGCTGTCTGGATTGCCATTTTCGTCGGTGTTTTGTTGGTGAGTCTAACAAGTTATTCGTCGTACTTGCGCACTTTAAATCATTGATTCTAGTTTGAATTACGCTATCCTGAGCTCGTACAATTGTCGTCAAATCGTACCTACTGTGTCTTGGTCAAGACATCATTGTCAGTGTTCTCAGTAGAGGCAGTGAGTGCGCAACACTGATACGCCTGCAAGGCCTGATTTGACATCGATCTGGACAATCTTACTTTCCGCTATCCTGATCATTGAAGAAGGTAAATTGGATCGAGACAATATCGTCTATTCGATATTTCAGTGACCTATACCGATTTTTTCCAGTTCTTATTGGTGTTTTGCTCTATCGGAATCGAGAGTCATTGCGATGCTTCCATCACTCGGCCGTCATGACTCTACGAATTGTAGTATTCACTATTTTTGGCATAACTGGTGTCACGTCCGTGGACTCTTTGCTCTTGATCATCGAAGTTTCTCTGACGTCAAATAATGATAGCGTTGCCTTTATCTATACTGTAACACAGCAACTTGGAGTTCAGTTCGATTGTTTGGTTGCTGCAAGTAAGTGAAGTCTGTATCTGATACTTGACCAATCTTTTTATCATCCTGCTTTGTGCTTGTGCTAGTGCCATCCGGCGCGGCGGTCATTTTCGGTACCCAAAAGGTTTGTACCTCCAAGACTTGGATTTAACTTCTACATCTCATACTTTTTGGCACAGGACCTGCTTCAGGTCTGTGTCTTTTGGAAGAGATTCGAAGTTCCGCCCAAAAAATCGACAAATCAATCCGATATTCTCTCGACTAGATTTTCGTCCTTTTCGATACCTGAGACAGGGTCGCGTGGCTCGTCGCATGCCGCTTAAATTGGTACACCACCGACTCCTGTTAATCGGCGCACCTCAAGAAATGCAACTACAATACAAAATTGTCTTTGCTGCATTCCTGTACTACTAGTAGTAGACTAACGGATTTCATTTGTATAAGCATTTTTACTTTATATCCTACTTAATCTCATAGCGGAGCTCTTCTCAACCTTTGTAGTTTCTTTCACCTGTCGTTAGTCTCTAAAATAGGTCTTGATAAAATATCGAAGTGTTGCGGTGAATAGCGTCTTGACTTGGGTCTTTATCGACCTTGTCACGGAGTGTCACGATGTAAATAACCATGCGTTTCTCCAACGTCATTCGCACTCTCCATCGGCATGTACATTCCTCAGTCAACCATGGCACGATCAATGCTTCAGAAATTGCCCATTTCTCGCGTCTTTCTTCACAATGGTGGGACGAGCAAGGAGAGTTTGGGTTTCTCCACAAAATGAACCCGGCGCGCGTTCAGTTCATCCGGGAAAAGCTGGATGAAGTGTCATTGCGTGAACACGAGGGGGAGGAGGCCCCTCCTCCGAAAGGTCTGCGTGGTTTGGATGTACTAGATGTCGGCTGTGGTGGCGGTCTCTTATCCGAGGTGAGTATACTTCACTATTCACATGTTACAACTTGAGATCCTCACGTTGCCACAGAGCCTCGCACGTCTTGGGGCTAATACATTAGGAATAGATGCGTCTGAGTCGAACATAAAGATTGCGCAAGTGCACGCGTCGGCGGACTCGAAGCTCGGGCGTCTTTCTTACCTCCATTCATCAGCAGAGTCACTTCTGGAGACCCCAAAACGGTACGACGTCGTATGCTCCATGGAAGTTCTCGAACACGTAGACCATCCTGCAACCTTTCTCTCTGCATGTGCTGAACTCGTTAAAGTGAGTTGAAAACTCTGTCTTTCTCATGCAGGACCCGACATTGCCCCCGAATAGCCTGGTGGCCATTTGTTCCTTTCCACCATATCCCGGACACCACTCGCTTACTTCCTCACTATCTTCCTCGCCGAGAATGTTTTGCGCAAGGTCTCTAGAGGTACCCATACATATAGCAAATATGTCAAACCGACCGAGCTCGTCTCGTTCTTTCAAAAATATCGGTCACCCCGCGTGGATCCTCAGTATCTCGAGCATGCGACACTACCAAAAGCGTGGATTTCACCTTCATCCTCTCCCGAGTCTCCGCCTCATACGGAAGCGGAGGTGCGAGGTCTTATATATCACCCGTTGCAGGCGAAGTGGTTGCTTGCTTCACGGGAAGCGTGGGCCGCTACAGATTGTAATTACATATTTTGGGTTCGTAAACCATTTCAGTAAATATAATCATAAAGCACTATCATCATATTGTTGTTTCAAATCTCCATATACGGTGGATGAGCTCACAACTTGACGCGATCTAAGATCAGAAGTGAGTGCACACAACACTCACAAACTTCACTCTCTCCTTCCATGGCGTCGTCCAGTAGCACGGCCCAGAAGAACTTCAATCTCGCGAATAATATCATAGAGTTATCACCTCAAGATGAGATTTATCGTTTCGATCAAGAGGCGAACAGAAAGCTGAATCGAGAAATGCCCTGGACGAAGGAGTGCGTCACCAATGATCTTACTATTCTCAGACTCAATGTGTCCTCTGAAGCCCGCACTATTTCACGGCATGTAAAATCTCTGCCGTCGCGTTAATCAAGATGGTACGCAATCCAGAATCCTAATCGCGCCACGGTACGGGATGAACGACTTGCCACAGGTTACTCATGCGCGCTCGGGAGTACCCCACGAAATCATGGGCCTCATGCAAGGAAAGGTGGTTGGGAGAACTCTTGTGGTCATGGATTCCTTTGCTTTGCCAGTACAGGGAACGGAAACGCGCGTAAGTGCAGCGAATGAGGCGAACGAGTACATGGTGGAGTACATCCAGGGCAGTGAGAAGGTGAGTCTCTTATCAATTGTCTTCTTCTTTAAAGAATCTGAATTTTTTATCATTTCCTTCTTTGATCGATAGGCCGGTCGACTTGAGAATGCAATTGGGTGGTATCACTCTCATCCAGGATATGGCTGTTGGCTATCAGGTATCGATGTCAATACCCAAATCATCAACCAGAAATTCCAGGATCCGTTCGTTGCAGTTGTCGTAAGTTCTAGATATCTGTACCTTCTAGTCATGGGTCCGACATTCTCTAGATCGACCCGAATCGTACCATATCTGCTGGCAAAGTTGATATTGGTGCGTTCCGGACATATCCAGAAGGTTATACTCCCCCAAATGTTGCTGCATCCGAGTATCAATCCATTCCACTGCATAAGATTGAAGATTTCGGTGTCCACGCCAACCAGTACTATCAGGTGGATGTCGAGATATTCAAGTCGAGTCTTGATAACGAGCTGCTTGCGATGCTTTGGAACAAGTACTGGGTTAACACCCTCAGTTCTAGTCCACTAATTTTGGTGTGTCGTATTCGTTTTCCTCCTCCTGAACGAGGGACTGAGTGAACTCTGGGTTCAGAATCGGGCATATGCTGTCTCTCAGCTTTCTGATCTACATCAAAAACTCTCAAAGGCGCAATCAAGTGTCGGCTCAACGCGGGCTCCCGTTCCAAGCGCAAAAGATAAAGAAGGGAATTCTAAGGTGGGACTTACCTAGTTCCACTCTGTCGCGTTTTTCCTGACGGTGACGCGTAGGGAAAAGAAAAGGAGGAGAGGAAAAAGGAGGACAACCAGCTCGCAAAGAGTGTCAAGGATAGGTACTTGTCATCCTTCTTTCTCGAGCATCTTCATCTCGGCCTGACGAGGACATTGCAGCACGAAGATTGCTGTTGAGGCGCAGCATGGACTTATATCACAGGTCATCAAGGATGTTATATTCTCAATGCGCCTCAAAGGCACTCAGCCGCCAGGTCTCTCGAACATTTCTGAGGTTACGCACATGGCGATCGGTTGATAGTTTATCTTGTCGTCTAGTTTTTCCTGTGCTTTTGACGTTTTACTCACCACCTGTATTATCTTATACAAATCCGATTCTACTTGTATGGCTTGAGTACTGTGGAAAGACACCTTGTATTGAGCGAATCATCGGGGTGCTCTTGGTATATGAAGGAACTATAGTGGCACTGCTGAAGTCAGTCTTTTTTGACTCCTTTCACGTTCGGGGACTCTTACCTCTGCATCATTTACTGCATACATTGGCTCGAGGAACTAGAGTTGGAATAGTTCAATACTCGAAAAAGTATTGTCAGTAGAAAGATCTGTCAAATCGAATAGCATTGACATGTGAACAACAAGCCTGAATAGTATATGGGGGTCAATTCTTAGACAAAGATATGTCGGCCTAATGGTCTAGTAGCATGATACTCCCTTCGGGATTACGCATCTCGCTTGCTTATGTAAGTTTCCAATGGGAGTGGTCCTGGGTTCAATTCCCAGTTAGGCCCTCTTTTTCACTATCTTTTCATAGCTGAATGGCTGATTTTCTTTTCTTAACTTGATTTACATGGCCAGGAAGAGTTGGCAGTCTGTGGACAAACTGCACTTGGAGATTTGGACAATTGTCAATGCTAAAGGATGTCACTTAATGATTGATATTACTAGATGATTGTGTCATTTCTGCATTATTTCAATTAGTTAAAAGAGTAGATTATTGTGCAATTGGTGTCACTTTTGCATGACTGATGTTTGTCGTTTTATCTGAAAACAGGTCAAAGAATCAATTGTGTCTAATATTTGATTCAGATAATCACATTATAATACAAGGTTTGTAAATTTACATTCTTAACATAATATTTACAATCTTATATAGATGTTGCTATGATATCTTATTGCACCAATGATTGAATCCAGGTGCAGAGCTTGTACTGGATAAGACTTGGCTCTCCAGAAGGGCTGCCATAGCTAGTGTCAGGTTCCGCTGACCACGGGGGCCCAGTTTACTGGGTGAACACCTTATGGCTAATCACCGTGTACACAAACACAGAGCACCGGGAGGAGTGCGAGGTGTAGGAGACCAAAGCGGGACGGGGGGTGGTGCATGGGAGAGTGCCGGTAGCGCCGGTGGGTGAGATGAGTGCCAGGGAGGGTGAAGGACGAGTGCCGGGGGTTGGCGCGAGTCCTGGGGGTGCAAGAGAATGAGACGAGCGAGCGCCGGTGAGCAAGCGGGTCCCAGGGATCAAGAAATAGTCAGACGCGGGGACTTAGCGAGTCCCAGGGATGGAAACAGAACCGGGGAAGTTGGATGACCAAAAGGGGAAAGAGTCGAGATAAGATATCATGAGATGGAAATGATTAAGTCGAAGAGAGGAGAGCCAGGAACGGAGAATGAAGAGAACTTAGAGTGGAACAGAGAAAGGAGAACAATGAGATGAGATTGGGAGTACGAGACGAGTAGAGATGAGACGGATAGATGAAACAAGACGAGTATGATGAGACAAGGAAGCAAGTAAAAGTAACGAGACCGGGGCACGCGAGAGACAAAACAGAGACGAAAACACAACAAACGAGACAGGTTACGGCAATATCAAAACTAGAGTACCTACTTACTACTCTGCGCCTTATATACTACATAGTACGTATGGCCCAGGGATCAGGCCCGGGTTCCAGCAGCGGGTCGTGGTGCCGGGGCTTGGGATGAGACCCGGGGGCCGCGCGGGATGGGGCAAGGTTAAGACATGTTGCACGGCACGGAGGTCTTGTACTGGAAGCGCAGAGACATGCGGTGGTGGTGTGGTGAGGAGGGAGCGGGAGCGGGGCATGGCATGCGGAGGTCAGCGGCAGTGATGCGCAATCATGATGTGTGATGGGGGTCTCAGCACGGGCCGGGAATGACAGGTGGTGCCAGCGCTGATGTGGTGTGATAGCTGAGACCCGGCGCTGATGTGGCGGTCATGGCGGTGATGGCCGGGGAATGCTGCGAGTGGCGGTGGCTGTGGTGGCGATGGGCGGTGATGGGTGGTGATGGCTGGGGATGCCGCAGGTGGCGGTGGCTGGTGGCATTGATGGGCGGTGATGGGCGGTGATGGCCGGGGGAGTTGGCCAGGTAGTGGTCCAGGCCCGGGGCGGTTGTGGGGGTGGTTTTTGGAGGGTTGGAGTCCCAGGGCCGGGGCTGAGTCCCGGAGGTCGGTAGCGGGTCATGACAAGCCCCGGGCCCTATGTACTGCATAGTATATAAGTCGTAGAGTAGTAAGTAGTACTCTAGTCTTGATATTACCGTAGCCTCGTA